TTCTGTGAAGCGCTTTGGGACGTCCTCCCGACGTGAAAAGCGCTATATCAAATGCAAGGATTATTATTATTATTATTATTAAATGATCAGGGTCAAACCAAGTTGCAATGAAAAGATTGTAGATGCATATTCCAACTGATATGAAATTGCAAATGGCAATCAGATTTTGAATAATTGGATATCAACGTAAAGCATTTTCGCATGGGTTTTTGGCCAATTTCATATGATTCATTTTGGATAACAAGTATTGTAATAACAATCTCTCCCACTATTAAAACAGAAATAGTGCACTGTATGCTGTACTTTTTGCAGCAATTTGCCATGGCAATAAACACCATGCAGTCCAACTCCTATTGTAACACAGGTCTGCTCATACCATACTATGGAAAAAAGGCTTATGTGAAAACTGAATAACAAAAATAACCTAAACTGATGGCAGCTGCCCCTCATTGTAGCCTCTTTCATCTATTTTGTTAAATAGAATATTGGATTATTTCAAAATTGGCTAATGGAAAGTAGAGATACTGAAGGCAGTGACTGAAGATTCTCAGCAGCCAGGACTTACCCTACACACAACGCTTCGTAACCTTTAGCAAATATGTTAATTTCAGTTTGCAGTTTTGGACTTTAATACTGCTCTTAAACAAATACCTGTTCAGCCAAATCATTAATAAATACAAATAAATCCTGGATAGTCGTACTATTGGGGCTGAATTTGATATACTGCCTTATCACATCTCGAAGACGTGATAAGGCGCTATATCAAAAGCGAGGATTATTAATATTACGCAGTTATCTGTGATGAACATTATCCTTAATGCAGTGTCCAGTAAACAAACCCACTCATAACCAATAAGCTATAAGGCACGTCATGTATCCCTCTTCGATTTCATTGCATAACATAAAGCAATAAGCACTAACACCATTCCTCACAAAGTTTGCAGCCAACTCTTTATTATGCTGGTATATTTTAAACAGCAGAATACTGACTTCAGTGCCTTAATGTTGTACAGTTTTACTTTATAGAAACCCTGAAAAAAAGTCACAAAAATAATATCTTTTGACTGTTGCACTAGATAAACAAAACTAAAGTCAACTGCATGATCAATATGAATACACAGTACAAAAGTAATAAAATATATTTAATCCAATTAAGTACAACTATTTTATTCATTTATTATGGAATGCATTTTATGTGAGTGTTTCAGATTTATTTCAGAAGAAAAAATATATAGATTTAAAGCACATATTCCTAAAAAAAAACTGAAATAGCTCCTCACTCAAGTTTGTTAAATAACTATATGCTTTTTATATCCACAAAGCAAAACACCAGCTCTAAAAGAAAAAAACAGATCTCTTTTGATTGTTTGTCTTTTGTTACATAAGATGAACAAACATCTATTAGCTGTTTTGAATATTTCCAGTAGTAACTTTCTGTAACACTCACCATGAGTAGAAACTAGGGTTGTCAGAGAAACTGCAGGTTATTGCAGATTAAAAGATACACTTCAATGGATCCAGTAACTTTGATGCTTCAGTGAAAGAAAATGCAATGTAATATCCAGACATGATTGGCAATTAAATATTGTAGGATACTAAATATTTAGAAAGAAGAGGAGATGGGGTAGCATTATTGGTAAGGGAATTTATAATCACACTGGAAAGGAAGTGTAAATAATGAGGATAGAGACAGAATCCATCTTGGCGAGAGATAAAAAGGACTAGCCATGCTTTTAGAGGTGAACTACAGGGCACCTAAAGCAGAAAAGAAGTAGAAGAGGAAATATTCAGGCAGATAAGGGAGATGAGAAAAAATAGGTGATAATCATAGGCATTTCAATTATCCCCAGATAGATTAGCAGAGAGAGGGAGTAGGAGCCGAGAAGGGAATGGAGTTTTTTCAATGTGTATAGGACTCTTTTCTTTCAGAATATGTAGGAACTCTAAGAGGAGAAACACTGCTTGTCCTTGTTACGGCAATGAGCCAGAGCAGGTCAAACATTTCAATGTGGGGGAATAAATTAGGGATAGGGTTCACCTAGAAGATTTTTAAGCAAGGGATAGAAATGGTACAGGAGAAATTTATTCCATTAAGAAATAAGGGAACATTAGTTAATTGCCGTGGACAAATAAGGAGGTGAAGACAAAACTGCAGCTAAGGAAAACAGTATTTGAAAAGCATAGGATCCATAACAGAGAAAAACAGGAGAGAATACAGCAAAGTTAGGAAAGTGGTTAAAAGTCAATGAGGAATGCAAAGAGGAACCATGAGGAGGACCCAGCAGAAATATAAAAAAAGAAACAACAGTGTTAAAGTCCATGAACTCACTGCAGATAATAAGGAAATGCCAGATGTACTAGAATAATACTTTGCCTCAATTTTCACAAAGGAAACTGATAAAGAAAATATAGTATTTTGTTATGAATCCATTATGTATCCATTTTTATATTTGTGTACCAAGTTCAGGTACAAGTGATGATTGAATCAGATGCATTCAAAAGGAAGCTACCCCTTCACATGATGGAGAGGGGAATAAAAGGGTATGGGAGGGAGGAAAGGAATGGGTGGAGAAATGTGTGGAGTATGAACACTGGCACCGACTGGTTGGGCTGAGTGGCCTATTTCTGTGCTGTATATTCATTGTAAATAGGCTAAACTGTTGGCTTGGTGCAAACGGTGTAATTCAACTTTACTTTTGGGAAATTAATACTGTGTTTATTCTGGCTTTTATGTAGCACTAAAGTCTTCTCTTCCAACTTTGCCAAATGGGATTTTGTTTCAGAATCCTTTAATGAGGGCATGTGTCAGAACAATGGCTTGTGTGTTGTTGTTTTCTATTTAGTTATTTGAAGCAATTTCCTAGTGCAATTTATATCAAGATCCGTCTGGTGTTAGCTGACAGCAAACAGTATTAAAAGGAGAAGGCAAAAAAGACACAGGATATAGTTGATTGCTTGAGCAATAGCTCAGGATTTTGTAGCAATGCTGTTGGAAAGACAAAATAATAATAATATAATCCTAAATAAATACAACATTCTTGGTGCAATTTCATCTCCAATGTGGTTACCATGTCTTTGTCTAATCTTAGCAATCTTTTAAGTAATTGTAATTGTAATACATTTTGTGTCCATTTTTAGATTTGTGTACCAAGTTCTGATACATTTAAGCTAAATCCAAAGGATGTATACTTTTACTGGAAACAGTGAAATGAATGGCTTCATTTAACCACTATGCTATTGCTGCTTTTAGTCCTTGGTCTTCATGTGGCAATTTATTACGTCAATTCATTACACCCAAGTCAAGCTAAAAGCATTCTTACTGAATGAGATAGAATAAGAAGAAGTTCTATTCACAAGAAGGTACATTTTGTTTGACTAAACACGCTCTCAAATAAATAATAATAATAATCGTTGCATTTGATATAGCTCCTTTCACATCATTGAGATGTCCCAACACACTTTACAGAATACACTGTAAAGTGAATTGACTGTTCATTTGTGGGCGAAACACGGCAGCCATTTGTGCACAGCAGTGTTCCACAAACAGTCGTGGATTGAAGTAACTAGTTTATTATTTTTTACTGTCGAACCAGCTGCCTTTCTATTTACCATTTAACGACCACCAAGAACCCAAAGCGCAGAATTGTACCACAATGCTTCTCTTTTTATATGAAAATAAAATCTGACCCTCATCAGCTGTAAAATCCTGAAAAACAGCAAGTTATTGCGTCTCATTATCTGTTACATAAAACAACATGACAACACCCTGTAGCAAATCTAATCGCTTTCCCTTTCCCCTCCCTCCACTCCCACATGAACTCAGAGAAGTTATTTGTGTGAATAACAGTCTTGCTGAGCAAGGTATAATCTACATTTCAAAATGTAACCACAGGCGAGATTACTGTAATGAACTGATTGAACATACTGATGGACTGTGTATTTTGTGAGCAAAACGCGGCAGCCAGTTGACCAAGGCAATTTTCCACAAACAGCCATGGAGTGAGTGAGTAATTTGTTTTAATTTGGGGGGATTGTTGGTTAGGACACCGGGAGAGAGAAACTCCCTTCTCTTTTCGAATAATGATGCGATAAGTTTAACATCCACCTGGACAGGCAGGGGGAACCTTGGTTTAACATCTCATCTGAAGGACAGTAATTCCAACAATGAAACACACGCCCAACACTGCTTTGGGATGTCAGTTTAGACTATGTGATTCCAAATCCCAACATGGGGCTTGAACCCACAACCTTCTGACTCAGAAGCGAGAGTGCTACCGCTGTGCCATTTTGACACACAAATGTGTTCTCTCACTATTTTTCTCTTGGGAGGATTCACCCAAAAGAGTTGTTGATCATCAGGACAGGTGCTGGATGAATTTTGAAAGAGAAGGAAAGAGAAAAGGAAGGAAAAGAGAAGCGTACAGTGATAAGCAATCGTGTGGTTTTTCTTCCTGCTATTTACAGATGATCTGTGACCAGGTTCTGTAGAGATTGCAGCTTCTTTTGAAGGTAGGGTATTATCACAGCATGAATCTTCTGTTGGTTTTCCCCCTAACCCACAGGGAAAGCTGTGCCTATGACATTCCAGGAGGAGGAAGAGTATTTTGCTTATGCGATATTGAACAGTGTAAGTAAAATAAATATGCACACATACAGACATTAATACACAGAAAATCAGGTATAGCTCTTTAAGAATAGGTCACAATGCATATTCTTGAAAGGATAGACCTGGTAGCCAGTGCTGTTTGAAAGGCTCACTCAACACTCAATCCGTGCTATCAAGAGGAGACTTGACAATGAAAAATACTGCTTCTCCCATCAAATTATTTTACCAACTGTAGGGAACAAGTATTATATGGAACAGACTATATGTGTTCTAATTTCATATTAAAAAAAATTCTTTCTTTCAGCTTTCTTGCAGCATGTGGAAACAAATATTGATATGCGAGTAAGGCAAAGAGAAATCAATGATACATGCATGATAGACGTGTTCTTCTTACCCCTCTCTCCAAAAGCATATCCCGGAAATGATTTATTCGTTCTTCTAAGGGGAGAACAGTTCTGTGTGCAGTGTTATTCAGATTTTTCCCATCCATTTCTTCCTTTGCCGGTTTAGCAATTTCTACCTGCTCAATTCTTTAAGAAACGGTAATTCATTATATTGGGTCGAACTGATGTTTAGAGAATTGTACATAAGAAGCTAAGCTACACAATAAAGCAAACTTACAGAAAGTGTGTCATTAGATGTGATTGAATAGAATCAGGCCAGAATAGAAAGCCCAGCGGTACAATGAAGCTGCAAAGCATATGTCCCCAATGTGTTCTTAGCTATTTGCATATTGCAGTTATTCAAAACAAAGAAATGAAAATATGTCAACAGTGTTTCGTACAGTCAATCAGCACCTTCTATCAATATTCAGATCTGTGCAATTTTGAATTGAACAATAAGAATCTTTCTTTAGTGTGTAATAAAGTTCACACAAAATTAGACTTTTATGCATCCTATCCACTGTTATATCTCTGATCAGTAAATCTAATTACTATAGCTGAGTTACATTATTAGGTGGTGTTTGAAGTCCATAAAATCTCAAGCCACCTCATAACAAAGCCAGTTTCATTATGTACACACACAGCTGGCTGACTTGCTTCTGATACACTGGCCAGCTCTTGTGCTTAAAAAAAACTTCCAGGTGATCAGGTTACCACCGTCATACACCCCATTTATGTTATAGGTGAGTCAACACCACAGCAAAGGTTTATAGTGGGGCAGAATTATAGAATGACAGGATGCTCTAAATACATTTTAAGGTTGGGAATACAGTTTACAATACAGTAGTTACAGGACAACAATTAACCCACAGAAAATGCCTGCTCAGATACTAGTTGAGCACTAAATCATCTAGGCCAGTGCAAGCACATCCTGCCATCGTCTCCAACAGAGCTAGACATGTCAATGCCTGATCGTGCAGGATCGTGTGGCTTGTCTGCTGATACTTTTAAAGGACTTGGACAAGAGAGCAATCTAACAATATAAAAGAAACTATATAGAATCTACAGCAAATTCTACAAATTACAATGAACTATGTTCACAACAGTCATTGTACAATTGTTGTTAATATAGTATTTAAAATCTAGATAATTCTAAGACATTTTTAATGCCTGATATTTAATGACTGAGCTCCCGAAACCTTAACGTTGGGCTAATGTCCAAGCATGCTAATCAGCTGATCCAATCATTTGCTGTGACTTATTATCGTATCTAGAGGACATAAATGTCTCCTGCACTCTGCAGGAATCTAATGTAACAAATGTTCTGTTCAGTTAGATGCAGTCTTGGTCAGAGGGCAAGGCATGTTAACTATCACAAGAAGCATACTGATAATTATTAACTCTTTGCCTTGTCAATTCTGATGATGGAAATGTTCCCAGAAGAGTATTAATTCTAAGAGGTGCCAAGATGTTTCTAAATGTTTGAAGCATTTCAAGACATTCAATACATTATCCTAACAGAGTATTTGCTTCAAAACATTATCCTATGGTGAAAGGTGCCGTGGAAGAATATTTGTTGTTCTAAATGTTGACTTTTCTGTTAATTTTGCAAATTTTGCAAATATATAATTGATTTATATGTTATTAAAAATGCTCTGAATTTTGATAGTTTTAATGTTTATACACAACACAATTAAAGTATACTGTTGTCATAATTGGATTTTCTAGAAATTCAGATATGTTGGTGAAATAGTAAAGATTTTACATTGATAACAATCCTTGCATCCGTGCCTTATCACACTGTCTGAACATCTTTAAGTGCTTCACAAGATTTTACTGTAAAGTCTACTGACTGCGTATTTGTAAGCAAACCACAGCAAATCATATGAGCCAAATGAGATTTTAATATAATAGGGTAAATGGGCATAAGGACAAAAGTGTTTCATAGAGGATGCACATTTATATGAAAAGAAAGCAAGAACAAATTACTTTACATACTTGTTTCTTTTTGTTTTCATAAGGTGCTCCCCATGCGCTTCTTGATTAGAAGTTTCATCTTTAGCTAATAAAATAAAAATAATTTAAATGTAACCACCTTACAGCTAGAGTACAATTTAAAGAAAAAGTAAATGCAGTATCATTTCTGTTATTTAAAATATAGCTTTGCCAGGACTTAGCTCTACCTATTTCTTTAAAAATACAGACAGCAACAAAAAAACATATTTTAGATTTTTTTTATAAGGGAGGAAAGCACTAAACTTACAATAGTATTATATCTACAAGTGGTTATCAATGTTATTGATGGCAAATACAGCTAGCATGAAAATCTTTTTAAAAACTTGATCCAAGAGAATCTAATAAGATGAAAAGGACATTCAGCTGGTTCAGCTTGGTCCGTTCCTCAGATCCTGTTTTAAAACACAATCTGCTTCTGCTATTTAAACCCTAACCTTCTTCCCTTCACACATTCTTCCCCCCTGCATGTTTCAATGAAGGCAGTATTTACTTGATGGAAATGTACAGTGTAAATGGGAATAGAGTAACGTGGGAATCTCACAGAAGCGGTTTCAGTAACACTTTGATTTAAACCATGCAGTATTAACATTGCTCTTCCAATCAATTCTGGCTCAGCTCCCCAACTGTCTTTTGAAAGTTCTTTAGAGCAGTTTTTGAATGTTATTATAGGGTTCATGACAGCAGCTCTTCAATAAAATCCAAAATAATTGCCTAATACTGAACTTCTGCTCAAACAAGACCAAGTGCTTGTGCAGGAGTCCACAATCAGGTCTATCTTCTAAAACGTTTCTGGCTAATGCAAGGAGGAGCAGAAAGTATGAAGCTTTGATATAATAAAGTGCTTTAAACTTGCAAGTTATTTCCTTTGTTCCATCATCACATCACTCTGTGCTTCTAATGTTGTAAATGGGATTTAAGGAAGCTATTCATTCTGCTATTTCCACAAATGGCTTTTCCTCCAGGCCCCGCACAAGAGTGTGGTGTCCCTCAGGGCTCTGTACTCGGTCCCCTCCTCTTCACCCTCTATATGCTCCCCCTTGGTGACATCATCCGCAGACATGGGGTTAACTTCCACATGTATGTGGATGACACCCAACTCTACCTTTCCTCCTCTACCTTCAACTCCACGACCCCCGATGTCCTGACAGCCTGCCTGTCTGACATCGAGTCCTGGACGAGAGACAACTTTCTTCAGCTCAACGTGCGCAAAACTGAGGCCCTCCTGATTGGCTCGGCGCCTCCGCACCTCAGGCACTGACAGCATCAGCATCCAAGGCTGCACTCTCCACCTCTTAAAGCCAGTCAGGAACCTCGGCGTTCTGTTCGACCCTGAGCTGTCCTTTCTTCCTCATATCCGCGCCACAATTTGCACCGCCTTCCTCCACCTCCGAAACATCGCCAGACTACGGCACTACCTCACGCTGCTGAAACTCTGGTCCACGCCTTTATCACCTCAAGGCTGGACTATGGGAACTCTCTCCTCGCCGGCCTTCCCGACACCTCCCTCCACAAGCTGCAGGTCATTCAGAACTCTGCAGCTCGTGTACTGTCCCGCACCAGGCTTCACGACCACATCACTCCCACCCTCGCTCGCCTCCACTGGCTTCCCATCCCCCAGAGGAACGAATTCATGATCTTCACCTACAAGGCCATTCACGGCCTTGCTCCCTCCTACCTCTCTGACCTACTATCCCCCTACTTACCTGCCCATACCCTCCATTTCTCTGGCTCCGGTCTGCTCCACATCCCCCGCCCCAACCGCCCTACCATCGGTGGCCGGGCCTTCAGCCTCTCAGCCCCTCGGCTCTGGAACTCCATCGCCCAGTGCCTTCGCCTTGCTTCCTCCCTTTCCTCCTTCAAGGCCCTTCTCAAGACCTTTCTCTTTGACCGTGCCTTCAGCTCCCCTCTCGACTCTCTAACCCATCCTCGCTGCCTCCCTTCCCTCCCCTCACCCTGACCATTTCCCCCCTGCTCGGGTCCTGAACCAACTGTCCAACGCCTCCCGACATGAAAGGCGCTCTATAAATGGAATCTTGTTGTTGTTGTTGTTGCTAAGTCCAACTCTCATGTTTTCTTAGTTCCTAATCGTGTCCATTGCTTTTTCAATCTTTCTCTTGCACAAAGTAGCTCTTATTATTGATTCCCTTCATCATTCAACTAGCTTGATTCACACATCTCTTTTAATCTTTTTCCATTGAGAACAGACTTAACTTCCTTAGCATTTTATCATTGTTTAATTATGTCAAATGTGGAATCATCCTTGTGTTCCTTCTCTGAATCTTCTTACATTTTATTCACTTTCATACTGCTGCCAATATATTATGACAGTATGTTCAATATTTGGTTAACTATTGCACCTAGTTAATTCTCTTTAATTGTTGTATTTAATAGTTTACCTTAATTTTCCTGTTATATTTTCCTACGTTTCAAAGGTCTTTTGTGATTTATCTGAAATAAAGCAGAAAACCCTAGGTGAGCACAGCAGGTCGATTGGTCTATTAAAGAATAAGATAGGTTAATGTTTTAGGGGTGAATCTTCATTAGGATTCATGTATTCAGATGCTCTGATGAAGGATCAGACCTTTTATGTTAACCAATCTTTCTCCTTCAGATGGTGATTGACCTGCTGTGCATTTCCAGCAGTTTCCGGTTTTAAATCTTGATTTCTAGCATTTCCAGTTTTTCCTTTTATCTCTGCTACTGTGAGAAAAAGAAAATAGATAACTCTGCTCTGTGTTAAAAAACAATATATGCCAACTTGTTAATTCTCTCAATTCCTCTCCTTTCCCTCTAAATAGAAGCACTCCGGGACTCTATCCCACATGAAGGGCGTTATATAATTGCAAGTTGTTTTTGTGAATATCCTATTTTTCACACAGCTGTGCTTTGTTATAAAAAATGCTTTGCTATATAAAAAAGAAAAATTATATGCAGAAATAGTGTGTAAACACAAATTAAGATAATATTGTTCCATTCTAGTAAAAGGAAAACAGAAGTCCTCAAAAAAGCAGTGAAAATTCAATAGTTTGGTAGAATGAGCAAAGCAAGGTAATTTGCTCCTACATAAATGCCAAGAAATTTTCAAATACACTGCAAGTACATGTATTTTTCCTTTTATTAAAAAAAATTGTGAGAGGATTCTTTAATAAAACTAAATAGCTAATATCCGTACTCAATTTTTAAAGCCCCAACCAGACTTGAGAGTAGAAGACATTCCCTTTGCCTCCAAGTAGTGGAACAGCCTCCCAACATTTGGACGAGAAAAAGTTGATTAAATGCAACCAGAAACAACTGAATAAACATATACTTGAGAATGGTATGGGAAGCATATCAATATAGATGAATGAACACATTCTCCAGCAGACATAATGATTTTGGGCTGTGGGAAGTTGTTTTGTGAAGGAGTATGCCTACAGTTTGGGTGTGGGACAATTATATAGCTTGTGCAAGATTACTGTAGGCCAAGGAGTATTTCCGAGGAATTAAATGTCTGGGGTGAAGAGCTCCAAATGATTGTGGAGGGAAGTGGGATTCATTGAGCTTTTCTCATCCCGTTGGTTCTTTTGTGACAATGTTACAGTAGTTCTCATTGCTATGCAAGAGTGTCTCCTTGGGACTTAAATACATTTTCGGTGGAATAATTTAAATTGCCAATGTGATCCTTCAGGGAAATATAAATTCATCCTGTTTTCCAAACCACAGATAATGTACATTCCAATTAGATTCGCTCCAAAATTAGTTGAGATTAACTTAAACTGTTGCGCCAAGAGGGAGTGATCCATCATTTGAAATACTGTTTTTATTGAATTACTGTAAAATATGGATGATAAATGACTAAGGTTGTCAGATTATATACAAAATAAAAGTTCACATTTAAATCTATCCATTTTATATCTTGTTAATGAAGTGAATTTCGGTTTGGATTTTTATTCAACAATAATAGAACAAGATTTTTTTAAAGGTTTATATTTATAAAATGTATTGATTTTTGTTAGTTCACCACCCCCTCAGCTCTATTTCTTTAAACAAAATGATCCCATATAATTTATATGCTTTTGATAAACTGAATAACAATATTGACTATAAAGTGTACCATTATAAGAAATGCCCTCATTAATCGCCCACTATATCCTTGTTGGAGCTCATTAAGTGATGACTGGTATCTGTGCACCATTGAGTTTCATGGGTATTAACAATTGGCACTAGAGAATGTAGAGAATGGCTTCGGCATGCACAATTCAGGGTAATTCCAACCAGCACCAAATTTAAATAGGTCTGTGTACCTTGATCAATACAAAGGAGCTTTAATCAGGAAGGGAGTGGAAACTCATTAGTGCAAGACATAGAGAATGCTATACACTAGCTTGGCTGGCTACACAGGTATCATCACTCCACTTATAGATTGAGAGATCCACAGGTAGCAATTTCACTTGGGTCGAGATTATTCTATTAAGGTAGCATTTCAGAGCATCCAGAATTTAGGAAAGTCTTAGATAACCTTCAATTTTGAAGTAAGTTTTTTTGCCAAATTCAAATTCTACCCAGGTGGAATTTCTACCTAATGCACTGTAAAAACATGCTTCAAAAACATCGCTCCTTAGATTTTTTCCCCTTTTCACTTCCCTACACTGCATCATTCCCCAGCCAAAAAGGCAAGAAATGCTGGCATACTAAAATAGCAGGTACCACATCTTAAAATCATAGAAACTTGTTACACAGGGGGATTGCAGCAAGAAATCATTACAACAACAACAACAAGATTCCATTTATTGAGCGCCTTTTACGTCGGGAGGATGTCCCAAGGCGCTGTACAGTTGAGTCAGGACCTGAGCAGGGGGGAAATGGTCAGGGTGAGGGGAGGGAAGGGAGGGAGCGAGGAGGGGTAGAGAGTCGAGAGGGGACTCATTAGCCCTTCTGCTTTGAGTCACGGGTCAAAGGAACACCAACTCAAGGTATGTGATGCATTCTGCCACACGCACACTACATTTAGTGTGTTATTTGCTCATCAAGTGGTTAGCATTCATTAATGCAATTGATACTCACATGTTGTCATTTCCATCTTGCGCTTATGAGGAGGATCTTGTATAATTTTGCTAATATCGCCACGGCCTTCAAGTTCCATTGGTTTTTCCCATACGGACAGTTGTATTGAAGGGTTGAAGAAGAAGACTCTATCATCTCCAGTCCAGACAACACACCTGCACATACAACAAGTTAGAATGAGAATTAATAAGGCTGTGACTTTACCTTGATTTTGATGTTATTGATCAATTCTAATATGTGGCTAAATTCACTGATTATTTTTGCATGGAAAATACGATTGCATCACTGGAAGAATGCTCCCTCCCATTATTCCATAACAAATAATTGCTTGCAACAGAACCCAACACACTATTTCAACTCTCCTTCAAGAAATAGTTTTAGAGAAAAAAAACTGCAACAAAATTTTTTTATTCTATTTGCAGTTTATTTGAACCCAGCAATCCTCTTTATTAGTTCTGACAATTCTTCCGATATTTGATATACATATAGATTGCACCGTGCCCCAGATTCAACTAGTCAACACAATTATAAAGAATGTGTGTAACGGAAAACTAATTGCAGTGTCGGATCATATTAAGTTTCTTTTCTTTTTACGTCTCCCATTAAAAAAAACTATGCATACTATGTCCCACTTTGTTTTAGCTGAAAGAGTGGGCATGCAATAGTCTGCAGCTAAAACAGGTCATTAGAGTCCTACTCATGTTCCATTTTAAATGTAAAGTAATGATGTCTTCTTGCTATATAAAAAAATTGATGGGAGTTTCAAAAACATTTCAGACAGGAACACTTATTTGGGAATCTTCCACGTAGCAGTAAGTTTATGTCTGACATGCCATATGTAGTACTGGGGTGCCACTTAGAATCTGCACCTGACAGGAACTAGTGGACCTTTCTATTTCTAATTTCACAGCAGATTTCCCGCAGTTGTTGCATTCCAAGAATAAGTATATACTTCTGGAATAGTTAATAAATACAGTACAGTAGAACCTCACTAATCCGGTCATTCAAGGGACTGGGCAAAAGTGACTTACTTAGTGAGATGATCTGATTACTGGAACAGGTTGGGTGATTCAGGTCACTGATGTAATGTTAAGGGCATTGGTAATGGGCAAGGGTGATGAACATTCAACATACTTTGCAATCTCATTAAAATAGGCGTTTTCACATTTAAAACAAAAGCTGTCATGTATTGAGCCTCCTTTTTGAGAATGCATCCAACCTGTGTTCTGCCGATGCCATAGATCACAGCTAACTTTCTATGTCTTTTGCCCTCACTGTTTTTGATTACATCCACTCTCTCACGTAAGGACAACTCCTTCCGAATTGGCATGTTTACAACACTCGCCAACAGTCACTAAATCACAACACTGTACACACAAACCACGTGCTCTGAATACAGCATTTACCAAGAATTAGAGCTCAGGTTAGGCCGTGGCCATTGGGCAAAGTCGATTTGCTGCTTCTGAGATCCCAACACTCCCCACGCTGCGCATGTGCGACTGGAACCCACTCTGCCCACAGTAGCAGCATTGAGGAAACAGCGCGAGAGGCCTGAGGTTTAGCGCACTCCGTTCTGTACAGGTTAGTAGCGGAGGGGGGTGTTTGAAGCAGAGGAGGGCAATGCAATGGCTGCAATCAATGACCGTTTTTCTGAATAGTGAGTTGCCCAGATTACTGAAGCAGACAGACAGCCTGTCTTTTAACATTGACAATGAAAGAAACTGTGAAAATGCGCCCGCAATTGTGAGGTACCTGGAATACTAAGGTGACCGCATACAACTTTGAAAGATACATGGATTATTAAGTATTAAGAAATACATTGAGGGCTTTGGGAATATTAAATGGACAAGGTGGTTTACACTGCTGAGATAAGACAAAAGCATCTGGCCAGAGATGAGACCCAAACCTTAATTGGTGGTACGGAGGATGACTGGATACCCTGAGGTTTTACTTTATCAACTTTTTATGACTTTGGGGAAGAAAGGAAACTTTATTGTGGATCAAATGAGAGCTAGTGGTGAGGAAAGTCGATGATGGGATAATTATAAGAAGGATTGTGGAAAGAGTGACGAGTTTGTGATGACAGGCTTTCTGACCTTTTTATGAATGTCAAATTGAGAAAGCATACTGTTGAATTAAAATTCCAGTGCTTCTAAATGTATTCCGTTCCTTAATTATTAATGGCAGTAAGGAAAGCTATGCATGTAAGAGGCATAAACTTACTGCTATGTGGGAGATTCCTCTAATAAGTGTTCCTATCAAAAATACTTTGGAAACCCCCACCATATATTGTTTTTTTTATATCAAGTTGGCATACATTTCTTTAAAGTTAGAATGGTTTTCTTAAATAGAGGTCACGCTCCATCTAGGATGACTTTTGCTCCATAACCATGCAAACTTCCCAGCAAACTTCAGTCATTATACTACAACTATTTACAGCACACGTGCAATGTTACTTCAAATATTTCTTAGAACTATACATTTTGTTGTACGCCTACTACTTTTCAGCACAAAATATTATTATCATTGTTATATTGTTGGTCTCTCCACTTGTCTCCCCTTTTTGTCCCATTGAGACTTCCAGCATTATGAGCTGCACCAAGTTGCCAGGACACATTTTAGAAAATGTATTTGCACTTAATGTTAAATACTTAATATGGATTAAAGAAATGCTCCAACTCATAAAACACAACAAAAATTCAAATGCTGGCCTTGTCCGAAACACTGATTGTCCAGTGCCTTGGGACATCCTCCCGACATGAAAGGCGCTGTACAAATGTAATTTTGTTGTTGTTGTACTATGTTTGACAGCGTACAAGGAATGTACAAGGAAGATCAAGTAGCATTAATCACACTGCAACTGCACTCTCAACACCTTGGAGAAGGTATTTTTCAGGAACAGTACAATTTACATAGTCATAGAATAAACTGAGTGAATATGGTTCACTTTCTCTTTCTCCATTTAGTAAGCCACCAATCTTATTTGCCATTTCCCTTATATGCAGAACACAATCCAAGTAAATTACTTGCTTTCCAATTAATTTATAATTTATTTGAACCTATGGTTACGCCATGGGTGGACTGAAGAAGATTTAGAGTATTTTGACTGCATTTGTCTTTTTGCAGCTATTGTAAGTATTCATAGGAAACAGGTACAACAGAATTAGAGAGTGGCTTATTCTCTGGGCCCGAGGGAAGACACCTAGCAAGGATTTTTAAAAAAAATCTAGTATTGTTCTGCTTTCTCTAATTGGAATATCATGGTGTGCAGGCATTTGAAGTCCAAATTCTATAAAGGGATTGGAGACTGCACTTGTGTCTGCAATTTAGGCATACCAATACTAGCTCAAAAGAACTCTGAAGCATTGTTCATATTCTCTTAAAGACCTTTCAGATTTACTTAGTGGAATGACAAACATGCAATTGCTTATTTTCATAGTACCCATCTTTACACTCAGGAAAAATGATTAGATTGGAGAGATTACCTTTGAATCTGCTGAATAAAAGCTACTGATAATATTTGACCTTTTTAAGGGATGAGGCAGCTTCAAGCCAGCATTCATTGCCAGCCTGTCATTGTGTAGTTAAACCATCTGTTCAAAAGAACAATCTACAGTTTAGCTCAGTTTACATGGATCTGCAGCATTTTGCAAACTCTTTAACTGCATATCAAGGGAGTCAGAAATAAATTATACTTAGAAACAAACATCTTTGTTCATGGATAATTTAGCATTTGCTCCCTTACTTGATTAATGCAGGCTGTACAACTACTCAAAAAGTTCTGAGCTCATCATTATAAAATCAAGAGGACAATCCTCTTGGTGTGAAAGGTGAAACAAGAAAAGACATTTTAGGGCAACTGAAGTAATGGGAATTGAGTAATCTCTCTAATCATTCACCTACAAAATAGACTCATAGAATTATATAGCACAGAAGGAGACCATTCAGCCCATCGTGTCTGTACCGGCTCTTTGAAAAGAGCTATCCAATCCCATTTACCCCATAGCCCTGCAAACTCCCCAAGACAGTCTCTTTATAGTACATTCTGTGAAGTGCTTTGAGACATCCCTCGGATGTGAAAGGTGCCATATCAGATGCCAGCATGTTTTTTTTAATATAAAACCAAGCCTGGTTCTAAACTTGATCATGCTGTAAGAGAACTACTTCCAATCAACCAGACAATAATCGATTTTCTGCATCTAGTGAAAGTGCTGTAACCACACAATTCATTTGCGCCATGGAGCAAATTAAACTGCACATGTTCTCTGGTGCCTTCAGCCGCCAACCTACTTCTCTGCCCTCCATCATCCTAACCCTTCCACCCCACGCTCAGGTCCTGATCCCTGACTGTTCAATGCCTTGGGACGTGCTCCCCACGTGAAAGGCGCTTTATCAATGTAATTTTGTTGTTGCTGTTGTTGCTGAGAAGTCTCTTACAAAAAAAAACTTACTTTCACTTCATGTATTAAATGGATCAATGCTACCTCTAATCTGACCATTCCCAGTCAAGAATGATACATGATAACATCAATTAATGGGATTCATATCTACACTGACTTTAATGAACCATCTTCAAAACATCCTTTGCTGTGCTGGGGCTATAACCATCAAATAAATCTTTATAAAGTATACCAATGTAAGGCAAAGATTTCCCGGCAACTTACATCTTTTCCTGATAGAGACAAGTTATTCTGTAATTAATTTAGAAGTAGTTCATCCAGTGTTTCTATTTGAAGTTGATGAATGTTCACAAAAAATGTGTCCAATTCTTCTTCATTAATCTAAGCATCCAATCAATATAAATCTTCGCCAAATGACCTGAACTGCTCAATGAGTTTCTGGAGCATCATTATAAAATTCCGAACATGTATCATAAATAATGTTAATTCAAATCCACCCAGCTCCGAATCCCTGGCCCAAATTAATTATTTCAGATCATCTGTGTAAACCACTTGCTCCTACGCTAAACCTATGTCATAATAAGTTTCCCCCAATTCATTGCAGCTGGCCAGTAAGAGCGCATGTGTGAACAGGTCAGGACATCATTTCCTGCGGTTTAATGCAGCTGGTAAGTGTAGGAGTAACGGAGGGTAGAACAGCAGCATTACGAGTTGAGAGATAATAAATAACTAGTACAAATAAACTTAAATGACTT